TGATAAATATTTGTAAAAATTAAGTTGTTTAATGTTTATCTAATTCTAGAAAGTCTAGGACTGGATTAGAAAGAATAGAAAATGTTAAGTGAAAATTTTTCTTGCAAGCACTGCTTTCTTATATATATGTGAGAGAGAGAGAGAGAGATGAGAAGGGGAAGAAGATAAAAACTCGGGTTTGATGGCTGCAGAGCTGGATTCATCCATCGAGCTAGTTAACAGAATTGTTTGTATCACAACAGTCTCTCAATATCCTATTTTTATTTCGATTTTACTGTTTGTATGATAGTTTTAGGGTTTTAAATGATTTTATGAAGTTTAAAAAAAATTTCATAATGTAATTTTTTATGTTGTGTAGAATGAGTCATTTCAAGCATTTTGATCGGTAAAACTCAAAATTTCATCAATTGGTTACAATTTATAAATTTTCATGTGTTTTACTATTGATGTTGATTTTAGTAGAAAATACTGTGAAATAATCAATCCCTCAAATGTTAATATAAACATTTCTTGTGAATGGTTTTTTGAAATGCTAATATTGAATGTGTATGTATTTAACTCCATGTATAATACTAGAATTGTCGTTCATATGTCACTTTTATATATTCATGTATTACGTTAAATGCCAATTATACATATAAAATATGTTAATTTGTGTTCATATGATGCATTACATATTCATAAAGTGGATATGATGAATGTGGAAGATATTGAAGTGTACTACAAATTAAGTTACATGGTCCCTTACATGTACATGTTTATGTTCCCTCTATTTTTCTTATATAGATGTGAGATGATCAAATGGAGTTATAAGGAGAATTGGACATATCTTTATTTGTCTTGTATAAACATGAGATCAACGGGAGGTATAAATGGAAGTGGAGTTATAAGTAGACATCAAGTTCAAGTAATATTTGAGTTTAAAAGAAATTCCAATTTAATATATCTAAAATATGTGTTTAAGTCTAACTAATATGTATATTATACTTCTGATGAAATTGAATGTGCAAGTATAAATAAATTAAGCTTCCCCTATACCCATAAATGCTACTTGATTAATTAAACTATGAAATTTTCTAGTGTTTTTATGTATTTATGTTATTGCAAATGTTGATTTATTTTTAAATTTATATTATAGAAGGATCTTGAATGCTGGGAAAGTGTAGGTCTTCGATACTTTCTATAAAAAAGATCTTGAGTCCACAAAGTATAGAGCTTAGAAAGGGCATTGGCACAGGCTTTCTAATCTTGGAGTTTGTGGTTGATATAATATGCTTTAATGTATGTAAGAAGTGGCTTCATCAAATGGCAATATTGTCCAAAGTAGAAATAAAGGGCATCAAAATATACCTCGACCAAAATAATGCGCCAAACTGTTGCTTGCTAGAAAATTCATAGTAGTATAGTGTGAGAATTTATATCCTATCTTTTTCATGAAGATCCCATACAAAAAAGAAATGGGCATGGAAGACATAAGGATTTTTACTTAAAAACCCCAAAAAGGGTGGGGGGACATATAGATTTGTTCATCTCTAATTTTGAGAAGGAGAGATTTCAAGAGTATGAGGGGCTTATAGAGAATATTATTGAGTCAATATGGAATGAAAACCATTTGAACAGTTGTTCACAAGTGATGGTAGTCAATAATGTTAGCCAAGTAGCATTGGTTTATTGGTGGTGTTCCAGTGACGATGATGGTTCGAGGTGTTGGTTTGGTGATGGCGATTAGGTGGCGATAATCTAATGGTAGTCATTCAATTATGGTAGTAGTATGATGGTTATGATGGGTTGATGACAATCTGATAGTGATGATTAGGCAAAGCTAGTATTTTAATGATGGTGGTTAGGTGGTGGCAGTCTAATGTCGGTGATCAAGCAAGATTGGTGGTTAGGTAATTATGGTAAAATGATGGTTAGGAGATATCAACATGTAGTGGGGTTCAGTGTGGTGGTTCGATGATGATGGTGGGTTTGATTACTATGATCAGATGTAGTGATATGAGGATGGTGGTCTGGTAGTGGTAGACCATTAATGATGGTGGTCAGGAAGTGGTGCCTTGGTGGAGCTCCATGATTCTTAAAAACTTTTATCTATCTTAAATCTTAAATTAAGGGCCCCTTCATGTAAAGAGTGAGGGTTTATTCATAAATTTTTTAAGGTGGCATGCCCCACAAATATAGAAGAAAATCTAAAATACTCCATTGTATGATGCCTCAGAATCTAATTTGAAATAATTATTCTTTTATCTTTTAATAAATAATAATTAGAGCTATCTAATATTATCTATCAGTAATAAATAATAAAATATATTCTATAATTCAAAATATTAATATACACATCTATATTCATTCTAAAAAAATCATATATAATACTAAAGATCTATACAATCATTACATATCCATTGTATCATGAGTACAAAAGAATAGCTAAAATAAAGAAAACCTGAACTTGAAGGAATTATGACTAGCCTCATACTCCTTATCCTATGTCCTGACATGAAATTATTTAATCAAATATAATGAGCTAATTAAAAGCCTAGCAGTTCACCAAAAATTACAACTGAATTCAAAGCACAGTAAAGGAGAAATATGCATGTCAATAATCAAATCATAACAATAATATTTATATGATCATTGAATCAGTGTAAAAAATTAATTAAATTAAATAGTATATTAAATAAATATATTGTATTATATGAAAATATCTTAAAGCACTAATATATTCCATTAAAATCCATATAATATCCCTAAGCTTTCGACTAACAGAGAATAGTTTTTGGAAAATATGAGAAAAAATGAGGAGAGAGAAAAATGAAGCTCAAATTTGTAGGCCGTGGAGCGATTTTCATCAGTTAAACATGTTGGAAAATTTACTCGTCTTATTGTAAGAAATCATTACGCTACTTTTGATTTTAAAGATTTTATATTTTTGGAGTTTTCCCAATAAAATATGTATTTCCGTTACCGAAAAATGACGATAATTTTGTATTTGTAAATTTTTACAATGTAACTTTTTATATGTTATAGAGATTGAGATTATGAATATTTTGAGTATTTATTTGAGATTTTTCACCAATTAATTTTGAAAATACAACAATTTTTTCCTAAGAAAATTATTTTGACATTTGAAAATATTGATTTAGTTTAACTAAGGCTTTAAAATATTATTTATTCAATATTTGATAATTTGGTTAAATTCTAAAAATATCAATTTTTGCTAAGTATGATTTTTATTGTCTATCGTTTAAATATTTTGACATTTTTTGAATTAATCTCAATTATATTTTATTTGCTGCAATGCTTTGAAAATAAATATGAATATGTTATTGAGATTAATGTTATGGTACTGTGATAATAATTTATATGTAAAAGATAAGTAAAGTCTGGTTGACTTGTTGGTTTAAGACTGATTGACCTGTACAGAATAGTGGGCTGACGAGCTTTTCTTTAAATATTGTGGTTTGATATTATGTTCTACTTATTCATGTGATATACTGATTGAGAGTTATAAGGAGATGACTATTATGCCGACTGTCAAAGACTGACGACGCTATTTACTGAGTCAACTGTTATTGATATTGACACCGATATTGAAAAACACAGTGATAATCAGAATTCTTACTTGTTTAGTGTAATTATTGAAATGAATGCTATTAAGACATTATTTATATTATTACATGGATTTATTATTAATATTATTATTGATTAATTGATATGAAAAGCATGATATATTAATTGAGTATGTGATTAATATATTAATTTAATATTGATATAGAATAACTGAATAGTATGCGTACATTTCTATATGATTTTATTCATCGATTTGATTTCAATAATCTTTACTAATGTTTTGATTCGATGCTTTATCCGATTGCTGTCAAGAAGCTTTGATTTGATTATAATCATACAATATTTAGAGATATTTCTATCTTTCAATTAATATTGTAAAATTTTTAACTATACTTTAAATGCTTGATTTGGGATCCTTTTGACTCAAATCAGATCTTTTTTTTTTTCTGATGTTGGGTTTATCTTGTCAAGCCGATCAGTTTGAATACAAGTTTTTTGAAACCAAAATTCAGATAATTTGTAGTTGAATTTTGAAAGCTCTTCCCTTTGATTTTCATTGAGATTCACACTCAATTAAGTTGTTTTCTAATGATGTGCCTAAAATTTAGATTTGTATTACATCTAAAATATTTTTATTTAGAATATCCTCAGTGAATTAATTTTTTAATCAGAGAGTAGAAAGAGTAGGACTTTTCACTATTGATTTTTTTTTTCTTTCCATTAATTATGCTTGTTTCATAAGCTTGAATTGTACATAAATGTATCATGAAAGTTGGTAGCCTATTGCACTGGATTTCATCAAGCTTAGTTGTAAAGATAAGCACTTCTGAAATTTATGACTAAACAACACTTTTCAGGAAGAAACGGCTTCAGTGGGTGTCTTTATCACATTTTTTTTCCTCGTCCTCTGATTTCCCATCACCATCATGAAGCAAAATAATGCTTCATTTGAGATAATTTTTTACTGTTTTTTAAAACAAAATTTATTAAACTAAAAATTTTTGTACTAAAAACTATTTTTAAAAGCAATAAGAAAGTTATCCCAAACGAAACGAACAACTTTAAACCACAATTTTTTCCTGTTTTTAAGATTTTTTTATACTAAAAAATAGTTTTACAAAGCAGTAAGAAAGCCGTCGCAAACAGAACCTGAGTCACCCAGTAAAATAAAATGTAAAATTATTAAACATATTAAAAAATAAATATAATACATAGAAAATTAATTAAAATTCATATTGCATATATTTAAAATAAATTCAATAATTTTGCTATTCCTTGTATTAAGAAACTTATTAAAAAAATAATGTGATAATTTTTTTCTTGTTCATAAGCTCCTCTTTTGTCATGAATAGTTACCGTTTCTATTCCTTCAAATGAAGCTCCTTTAACCACTCATGGCAGTGGTTGTGGTAATTTCTAAGTTGCTACAATGAAAACTAAAGCAGTTCTAACAATGCAAAATACAACCAAAATCATTACAAAAGTCCTTTTTTTTTTTTTGATAAAGATAAGGCTAACAACAACGATGACTGACAAAAGCCTTCTCAGAAATACCTTAGTGGCAGTATAAGAGGTCAAAGCTAAAGATCACCTAATTTTAGATTTAGTGAACTATGAAATTTACAGCTCGTTTTCTGCTTTCCTTTGACACTCTAATCTTTGGCAACAGGTTCCATGTCCTTTAGAAGACCCACAATTTGCTGCATTGATGGCCTCTTTGATGGCAAGTCAGCAGTGCATAAATAAGCAATTCTAAGAGCTTCTTCCATTTGCTTCTCTGATCCAGTCTCTCGAATCTTAGGATCGATCGCCAGCGAGCTTTGGTTCTTCTTCACCAGCGCTCGAGCCCAATCGACCAGATTAGTCTTCTTCTCCTCCGGGTACTGATCACCGAGCGGTTTCCTTCCTGTAATAAGCTCAAACAGCACGACCCCGAAACCAAACACATCAATCTTTGGAGAACCAGCAGAAGAGGAGGCCTTTTCTGGATCAGATAACTCTGGAGGAATGTAACCAGGTGATCCTGTAGTGAGTTCATCATCCAAATCATTCCCCACAACCTTTTCCAATCCAAAATGTGAAAGCCTGGGCTCCAAAGATGAATCTAGATAGATGTTACTTGCCTTCACATCTCTGTGCACTACCTGAGGGAAGCAACCATGGTGCAGAAATGCCAATGCTCGAGCAATCCCGAGTGCAATTCTATGTCTGAACCTCCAAGTTGTGACACCTTCAGTTGTGATGTTCTGAACACCATTAGTTTCATTCTCCCAAGTATCTGTACTCCAGTCTTCTGTAGTCTGCACTCCTAATGGTAAATCATGCAAAAGATTTTGAAGGTTTCCATTTTCCATATATTCATATAAAGCAATCCTCTGATCACCAGCTAAACAGTAACCTGTCAAAGGGACTAAGTTAGGATGCTTTATTCTCCCAAGTCTCTCTAGCTCCCTTGCAACATCTTGGTCGGTCAATGCAGATCCATGAGCCAAAACCTTCATGGCTACTTGAATTCCTCCAGGAAGGATGCCTCTGTAGACTGGCCCAAAGCTACCTTCTGATAAGAGTGTGCCCCTGTCAAAGTTACCTGTTGCAGCTAATAGGTCAGCAAATGTGAAGTTCAGCAATGGCTTCTCAAACATGACCACTGGTACTGAAGTGGCTACCCTGACATCGGCAACCCACGCCGTTGAATCAGTTCTAAACGAATAAGGGCCTTCAACATTTTGTTCTTCTTTGTAAGAAAGCTGCTTTACTGCCCATGACCTTGTGCTCTTTCTACAAGCAAAATAAAGAAAGACAATTCCAACTAGAACAAAAGTAACTGAGAGGGCTATTGCCAATGCTAACTTCAGCCCCTTGTGCTTAACTTTGATAGAAGGAATGATGTCAGGATTTGCTGCAAGGGGGCAGCTGTTCTGTGATCCCATGAAGGAAGAGTTGAATCTTTGGAGAGAAAATTTCTTTGCACAGAAGGTGAGGTTATTGTTTGAGAAGTTGAACATCTCCATATGTGGTAGCTTTTCGAGAAGTGGCGAAGGGATTTCACCAGAAAGATTGTTTGAGGAGATGTCTAAAATTGTAAGTTTAACCATCATAAACTGAGGAACTTTGCCACTTAGCTGGTTATGAGAAAGGTCTAGTGTTTTCAAACCAACTAATTGGGAGATTTTAGTAGGAATATTGCCTGTAAGACTAGTTTCTGACAAGTTAAGGTATTCTAGCATATGAAGGTCATGTATTTGAGGAAATTTCTGGTGGGAAAATCTATTTTTAGCAAGGTTCAGATGCTTAAGCAACGAAGCTTGGCCAAAATTACTCAAGAATTGTCCATTTAGATGGTTCCTAGATATGTCAAGATAAACCAAAGAAGACAAATTGAAACTAGAACCAAGCTTAATCTGAGAAAACTGATTATTGCTCAAGTCTAAAACCTTTAATGCCGCATGAAACACACCTGTGATGGAATCTTGAAGCAAATTACCAGAAACATTAAGATAGGTAATGGATTCCAAACCTGACAAATCAGGCATGGCTCCTTGAATTTGATTGCTAGAAAGATCCAGAAAGCTTAGATTCTTAAATGCAGAAGGAAAGCTCCCACTGAGCTTATTAACAGACAGATCTAATGCAACCAGAGATTTGCAATCAGTAATTCCCTCAGGTATCTTCCCCTCAAAAGCATTTCTGCTGAGATTGAGAAGCCTCAAGTTTGACATAGAGCTGATGCCTGCAGGAATTTCTCCAAAGAAGCCATTTTGCGAAAGATCAAGGATTTCCAGGTTGCCAAAGTTGCCAATGTTGTTTAGAAGTGAATCCTGAATCCGGTTCATTGAAAGGTTGAGGTTTTTCAGAGAACTGCCAAGTCCCCATAGATCCGAGGATAACTTGGTAATATGGTTCATGCTGAGATCTAAGGCTTGAAGCTTGTTGAGCTTTCCAATGGTGTTTTCAGGGATGGAGCCTGAGAGTCCAAGCCCAGAAGCCGCGAAGCCTATGACATCCACTCCAGTGGAATCACAGGAAACGCCACTCCATGAGCAAACTGAAGAAGAGGTGACTGAAGGAAGCTTAGCTCCCATTTTTTCAAGAAAATCAGAGAGGAAAAATCCATCAGTGTTAGGCTGTTGAAAAGCCAAGCATTTGAAGAGCAGGAGAAGAAGAAAGATGGATGAAGCCAGATACCCAGAACCCATTTGGGGAAGAAAGATCAGAAGCCACACGAGATGAACATCTGCAGCTTTATAAGCCGTTTAGATGATTGGGAACCCCAAAAGGTTGGCTTTTTACAAAACAAAAGACCCCATTTTTCCTAGTACTTTCCTGAAAGAAGAGGAGATGCATCGTGCACAGAGTGGCAAACCAAATTCACCTTAATAGAAGCTTCTTGGTTCATGGAAGAGCCTTGAAGAGCAAGAGTATTTTTCATCCTCCAACCTTCACTGATTTCATTGTTAGAGGAGGGGAGGAAGAAGAAAAAGATGGAAGTTGGGAATTTATTGACTGGTTTTGGTGGATTTATTGCAGAGTAAAAATCAAAACTAGCAATTGTTTGAACGTATTTAGTGACCCAAGTTCGGGACCCACCTGTTCTAAACTTGAATTTCCTGCGCAGTTACCATTGAATTGTGAAAGATAAAGCTCTTTATTCTCCCCATGTCAGCACGTTTTAATCATCCACTCCATTAAACATATAATAAAATATTATGTATGCTAATCCAACAGGCAACAGGGGTGTAAACTATAAGCGAGTTGAGCCTACTTTAAGTCACTTGTGACTTAAGTAATTGAGTTTGGGTTGAGCTAGAACTCAAGCTTAGTTATATAAGTTCGAGTCGGGGACATGATCAAACTCATTTATCATGACAAAGAAAGAAATGATTTTAATTCAAATAATTGTTATAATAAAATGATAAAAATAATGATAAGTTTAAGAAATTAATAATGTATTATTGCATATAAGAAAGTGAGATATTTTTTTGAACATTTTAATAACTTTTTATTTAAGCTATTTCAACTCTTGAATACTAATATATTTTACATGCATTTTACATTAATAATTTTCAAATGAGTCACCTTGCGAGCTAACAAGTTGATATAGGAATGGATCAAGCATGACTCATTAGTTTATCGAGTTTGGATCATGAACTATTTTATCAAATAAAGCTCAAACTTGCTCATGTGTTGATTTGACTCACTATGAAACACTTTATGTAAAAGAAGTTAAACTCTTAAATCGATGCATCGTTTGATATAATTGTTGAAATTTCATTATAAAACCTTTACGGTTAAGCATGTTCGTCCTAGAAAGTCTGGAGAAATACTAGGATGAGTGACCTCCTAAAAATTTACACCAACGAAACAAAATAGTAAAGTCATTAGGCCAAAATAGATAATACATCGATAGTTAAGAGTTTGGACTATTGCATTCACACCCTAATCCAACATATAATAATTAAAAAAAAAGAAGAAGTTAGTGAGTCAGGTCAACTTTCTCACAGACCTAACTTTTTCAATCCAAAGTGTAATTAATTTTTAAGGAGGCAAAAAGTTAGATCAATGACTTATTTTATGTAGTTTGCAATGGAACTCTATTGCCTTAGAGCTAATCTTTGGCAATAAAATTTTTTAGTTGAAGGGTTATTTTAGTTATTTATTAATGTGAAATGATTCATAGCTCAATGGTCCGAACACTAATTATTTTCCCAAATATTAGGGCTTCAAGTCATAAGCTTTGTAATTTATAGCTCAACATTATCAAAATAAAATATTAAATTTTTAATAATTTGAGAGATGCATAATTATTTTACAATTTTTTTTTTAATTCGATATAAAACAATTTATTATGGTATAGTTTTTCTAAGAGATTGGTTGTGTCACAACCGAATCCGACATGACCCATAGAAAAACATGTTATATCGTATTGAATTGATCATGAAGATCTAAGTTTTGAAAAAATTTCAGAATTTTATCGATTAAAATTAGAGCTTTTAATTAACTTCAACAAGAAGAATCAATTATACTTATCCAAAAATATCTTTTCATTTCACCAAATATATATACAATATTTATACTATAGTACAAGTTTATAAAGCAAAAAAAGGCTGATAAAATAGATCTAATCATGACTGTACAAAAATAAGAAAATATCTATATAGATTAAGAAGATAGTGTGAAGTACACACTTTTTACTAAATACATTATATGAGATAACATGCATATTATAATATAATTAATCATCATATTAATAAACTAAAATATATTATTTTCAATTTAATTAAAATTTTTTAATAGAACCAACCGATTCCTTCTAACCCGGACCGGTTCAGCGATTCACTGGATGAACCGCTGATTTTGTCGGTTCAATGCGGTTTGATGTTAAGCCAGATTTTAAGTTGGATCCGACCAGCCACCCAACCAGTTCTCAGTTGAATCGTCCAGTCCTGTTCGGTTTTAAAAATAGTAAGTTTTAGTACAAAATTCATCTAAATCTTTTTAGGGTTTCAAAAAATATAAAAAATTATTCAAAAAAAAAATCAATAAAATAATTCATTATATTTAAATATTATCGTGAAATTGGTTTGCGCGCAAAATGGAAACCTGATGGTCCAAAATCTACATTTGTTCCAGCATGTATCAATTTCTTAAGGATTTGCACTACTGTCTAAAAATTATGAAAAAATTAATGTAATTTAATAACTATAATATCAATGCTATGACAAAGATGATTTATGATTTTGACTCATAAATCATAAACTCATAAAGGCTCCTGAAAAAATTTATTTGACTTGATCAAAAAATAGGCTATTATATGTACTAATAGGAATCATAACATTGATAAGTAAGGGTTACACACCAAAAGTAGGGCCAATAACAATCAAACCACATACGCAAAATGCTCCTAAACTGAATTTACTTTGAACATAGCTAGAAGATTGATCGAGAGATCTATACATAGACCATGGGAGAAACACGAATATGCAAAAAGAGGTTTAATAGTCTTCAGTTGGAGATAAAGTACATGAATTAGGGAAAGCCTAGGTAAACAAGGACGCCGACTGGGAGTGCGATAGAGGGACAAAATTGGAGATCTGCATTGTAGGAGAGTTGCCACCTCTTTTGTCTTATACGAGTCAACCAAGAAGTGGACCTTTAATTGGAGTAGCTTATGTTAAAAAAAAAAAAATCATCCAACGCATGAAAATGTAAAGACAAAGTGGACGTGTCGTGTGTCATGACTCGAGGCATATGAGGGGAAGTAGCATAATACCTGAAGTAATTATTGGTGTAGGAACCTGCACAGAAATGTTAGCTGGGAAGCAGAGAATAGAAACTTCAATGGAACAGTAGCCGGAAAACTACTTGTAATTTTAGTATTGGGAGTCAAAACTACTGAACCAGTCTATTCCTGGGGTATAAGACTACATCTTTGGCATAACCGTAAATAGCTAAAGGGAATGAAAAGTTTGCTCATAAGCTAACAGCATTAAAACAGCAATAAAGTAAAAAGGTTAGTGGGAGACGTCCCTGGAAACGGTGCACATGCACACGGTACCCTGCATATGCATAACACTTTCTCAAGGATGCTCCACATCATACGCCCCCGCTTCCAAATTTGCAGGCTATTTTTGGTGTCAACTGATTGATTATCACTTGGATGATATGGGTATAGATCTGCAACATTGAAAGTATTATGCGTATTGAATTATGGCGGCAATTGAATGATATATGCATTCTCATTAATGTAGTGAAGGACTGGAAATGGTCCGAACTTCCTTTGGCCGAGCTTGCTATATGAACACGCAGGTAATCTTTCCTTCTTTATTCGTACCCATACAAGGTCTCCTGGCTTGAATATTTTCCGTCGCTTGTGACAATCTGCATCCTTTTTGTATTTGGCATTGGCCTCTTCCAGCTTTGACCGAACTTTGGCTAACATCTCTGCAAATTGATCAACCATCGCAGCTGCCGCCTTGATTTTGCAATTTGGGATTGCTGCAATATCTAAAACAGTATTCGGTGCTTTAGTATACACAATACTAAATGAGGACATACCCGTAGAACGGTTGACCATGGAATTGAATGCATATTCGGCTTGACAAAGCATCTCGTCCCACAACGTTGGCTGTTCTTGCACTAAGCAACGCAAGAAGTTTCCCAACGTTCTATTAACGACTTCTGTCTGTCCGTCGATTTGAGGGTGGTACGACGAACTTAGTTGCACCTGTGTCTTCAACCTCTTCCATAACTCCCGCCAAAAGTGGCTAATAAACTTCACGTCCGATCGGACGTGAGACTTCTGGGTACTCCATGTAGCCGCACGATCTCCCTGAAAAAAAGTTTAGCAATGTTTTGTGCATCGAATGTCTTCTTACAAGCCATAAAATGGGACATTTTGGAGAAGCGGTCCACAACGACCATAATTGAGTCGTTTCCTCGCTTCGTACGGGGTAAACCAAGAATGAAATCCAAGCTCAAGTCTTCCCAGATTGAGTCAGGCACCGGTAGAGGAAGGTATAAACCAGTATTCTATCCTCCTCCTTTATACATTTGACACACTGAGCATCGATCCACATATTTGCTGACGTCTCTCCTCATGTGTGTCCAGTAAAACTTGTTCTATAGATGAAAAAAAGTCTTATCGCATCCTGCGTGGGCTGCCAAACCTCCCCCATGAACTTCTTGAATTATCCACTATCTCCATGAAGATTGAGGTATGCACAGAAGATTACCCTTAAATAAGAAGCCATGTCTCAGGTTGTACTCCTCACTGGGTTCCTTGTGCACACACTAGAACCACTTCTGGCCGAATTCTTTATCCTCCCGATATAAGTCTTGTATAAGCTCCAGGCCGGAAAATTCTGTCTGCTATTGTGTGAGGAGGGCGGAGCGACGGCTCAACGCGTCTGCAACTCGGTTTTGCGCACCGCTTTTGTGTTTCAGTACAAATGTAAATTTCTGTAGAAATAGGATCCATCTCACATGCATTCGATTGATATTTTTTTGAGTGTTAATGTATTGGAGAGCCTTGTGATCGCTGCATAGAATAAAATCCTGATGTAATAGATACTGCTCCCACTGTTTTAGAGCCCGAATCACTGCATACAGCTCCTGCTCATACACTGACCATCATTGTCTTGCTGGACACAATTTTTTACTGAAAAATTCTATCGGTCTGCCCTCTTGAGCTAATACCGCCCCAATGCCCACCGTGGATGCATCTGTTTCTACAGAGAATGGCTTGTCAAAGTCCGGCAAGGCCAATACCGGAGCAGAGGAGATAGCTAGTTTGATTTCCTCAAAACTATTTTGTTGTTCCACTCCCTAGGTGAACAGTTTTTGCTTCAACACGTCGGTGAGAGGAGCAAGTATGACGCTAAATCCCCTTATGAATTTCCTGTAGAAATTCGCTAGTCCGTGAAAGCTCCTTATGTCTGTGAATGACTTGGGCGTAGGCCACCCCACTATGGATTCCACCTTCCTAGGATCCGCTCAAACTCTCGCCGACGAAATTTTGAATCCTAAGA